TATGTGCATGGATAGGCAAGACTCAATATTGTCAAGATGTTAATTCTGCTCAACCTTATCAATGCGTTCAGTAGGATACCAATCAAATTCCAGACATTTTTATAGGTATTGACAAACCTAGTTTATAGTTTATAGATGAAAGCTAGAAAAGAACATTGCAACCCACTCCAGTATTCTTTCCTGTAAAATCCCAAAGACAGAGGAGCCTGGTGGGCTATAGTCCATGGGTCTGCAAAGAGTCAGACATTACTGAGCACATTCAACAGTTTTAGAAAGAAAGGAACTATCAAGCCATGGATAGACATGGAGGATCCTTAAATGCCCATTACTAATTGAAGAGGCCAATCTGAAAAGATTGCACTTTGTATAGTTCCAATTATATGACATTTTGGAAAAAGCAAAGTTATGGTGACAGTAAAATGATCAGTGATTGCCAAAGGCTGAGAGGAGGGAGGGATGAATAGGTGGAAAAGAGAGGATTTTTTAGGGCAGTTAAAGTATTCTATGTTCTACTGTGATGAATGGATCCAAACCCATAGAATATGCAACACCAGAGTCATCTCTAATGTAAATTATATACTTTGGGTGATAATGATGTGCTAATAATGTGGGTTTATCAGTTGTAACAAATGCATTATTTTAGTACAGAATGTGGCTGGCTCGGGAGGTGATGTAGAGTCTGGAGAAAAAGGGTACATGATAACTGTATTTTCTTAATTTTACTGTGGACCTAAAACTACTCTAAAAATATAAAGCTACTGAAAAGGAAAAAACTAAAGTAACTGTGCACCACCTATGTTCTAGACTACCCTACTCAGGAACATCTGGGCTATATGTTGGAATCATATTATTGTATAAGGGGATCATGTGGCTATGGCAATTTGCCCAGTAACCTGTGTGCCCTCAGGTGAGGTCATAGCTAAGTACATGCAACTGAGCCATTCTCAAGAGAACTGAGTGTTTAAGTGATTCCTTAGACAATCATTTCTGAGATAGATGTGTCAATTCTAGATATGATCTTTTCTTTCCATAAGCAAATTTCTTTGACAAATTTCTTCTCATTTCATGTCACAGTGGCATTATTATAAAAGAAGGGAGATAATGAAATTATTAAAGTCTGTGCTATAAAACAGGATTTGTGTTAATTCTTCTTCTCTGATCCTTTTAAATGAATGACATTCAGATTGCATAAAATATCTATCTTTCACTTTAGTGATAGATGGGAGGGAGGTTTGAGAGGGAGGTGACGTGTGTACACCTATGGCTGATTCATGCTTTTGTTTGACAGAACAATACAAAATTCTGTAAAGCAAGTATCCTTCAATTAAAAAATAAGTTTTAAAAAGGATTTTATTTTCATATCTGTATATTCTACAAATATTAGTGAAATGATTTCATTATAAAATATCATGGTGAATGATCTCATACTTCTACATATCAGAGGTAAGTACCTTTTTTTTTTTCAGAACAGCATCTTTTTTTTTTTTTAATATTAGAAAGTATAAATTTCTTTCATTAAATGTTTCTATAAACTCTTAACTTGTTCCCCTCTGCATCAATTAACTTTTTTCTTAAATAATTATTATATGTGAAAAAACAATGTTCTTTTTAATAAGAATGCTTAAGGCTTTTTCATATGCATGGATTAGATGAATCATTTATTATCATATTATTATAATTCCTTTCAATATGAATACTTTTCATTCCTATTTAGCTTCAGGAGAGTTCTCCTAAACTTTCTCCATTATATGTCCACAGATATTAAAAGTTGGAGATCTATTTTCCTGGGGCCTGTGTTTCTCACTCAAAGTCATTACATGTGCAATCAAGTCAGTAAAAAAACAAACAAACATAGTGGTTAAGTGTCCTATATTCTGGAACTCTTGCTTTTCCGATGATCCAGTGGATGTTGGCAATTTGATCTCTGACTCCTTTGCCTTTTCTAAAACCAGCTTGAACATCTGGAAGTTCATGTTTCTTGTATTGTTGAAGCCTGGGTTGGAGAATTTTGAGCATTACTTTACTAGTGTGTGAGATGAGTGCAATTGTGTGGTAGTTTGAACATTCTTAGGCATTGCCTTTCTTTAGGATTGGAATGAAAACTGACCTTTTCCAGTCCTGGGGCCACTGCTGCATTTTCCAAATTTGCTGGCATATTGAGTGCAGCACTTTCACAGCATCATCTTTTAGGATTTGAAATAGCTCAACTGGAATTCCATCACCTCCACTAGCTTTGTTCATAGTGATGCTTCCAAAGGCCCACTTGACTTCGCATTCCAGAATGTCTGGTTCTAGGTGAATGATCACACCATCATGATTATCTGGGTCATGAAGATCTTTTTTGCATAGGTGCTCTGTGTATTCTTGCCACCTCTTCATTGGATCATCAAAAAACCAAGACAGTTCCAGAAAAACATCTATTTCTGATTTATTAACTATGCCAAAGCCTTTGATGGTGAGGGCCACAACAAACTGTGGAAAATTCTTCAAGAGATGGGAATACCAGACCACCTGACCTGCCTCTTGAGAAAACTGTATGCAGGTCAGGAAGCATCAGTTAGAACTGGACATGGAACAACAGACTGGTTCCAAATAGGAAAAGGAATACGTCAAGGCTGTATATTGTCACCCTGCTTATTTAACTTATATGCAGAGTACATCATGAGAAACACTGGGCTGGAAGAAGCACAAGCTGGAATCAAGATTGCTGGGAAACATATCTTTAACCTCAGATATGCAGATAACACCACCCTTATGGCAGAAAGCAAAGAAGAACTAGTGAGCCTCTTGATCAAAGTGAGAGGAGAGTGAAAAAGTTAGCTTAAAACTCAACATTTAGAAAACTAAGATCATGGCATCTGGTCACATCATTTCATGGTAAATAGATGGGGAAACAATGGAAACAGTGAGAGACTTTATTTTGGGGGCTCCAAAATCACTGCAGATGTTGACTGCAAAAGTGAAATTAAAAGATACTTGCTCCTTGGAATAAAAGTTATGACCAACATAGACAGCACATTTAAAAGCAGAGACATTACTTTGCCAACAGTTCCGCCTAGCCAAAGCTATGGTTTTTCCAGTAGTCATGTATGGACGTGAGAGTTGGACTATAAAAAAAGCTGACCACCGAATAATTAATGCTTTTGAACTGTGGTGTTGGAGAAGACTCGAGAATCCCTTGGACTGCAAGGAGATCCAGGCAGTCCATCCTAAAGGAAATCGGTCCTGAATATTCATCAGAAGAACTGATCCTGAAGCTGAAACTCCAATCACTTGGCCACTTGATGCAAAGGACTGACTCACTTGGAAAGACCCTGATGCTGGGAAAGATTGAAGGCAGGAGGAGAAGGGAATGGCAGAGGATGAGATGGTTGGATGTCATCACCAACTCAATGGACATGAGTTTGAGTAAATTACAGGAGTTGGTGATGGACAGGGAGTCCTGGCATGCTGTAGACCATGCGATTGCAAACAGTCTGTCTAGACTGAGCGACCGAACTGAACTGAACTTAAGACATATTTGGTAGTTCTTATATAAACATGACCCACTGGAAAATTTGGTTCAGTTTTAAATGTCAGGCTCTATTGACAGAGGTGTGTGTGTGTGTGTGTGTGTCTGTGTGTGTGTGTCTGTGTATCTGTGTGTGGTGTGTTTACCTACACATAATTATGACATATAACATTTGTATCTCTTTATTGAATGTCACTGCAAGACAAAGCATATTACATGTCACTGCAAGACAAAGAATGTGACTTTACATATAATTTTTCAAATAATCTCATCACTTTCTTTATTTTGCTCATGTACTTAGATCTGGTTTTTATTATAGTTGTTATTTCCTGACAAAAAGTAGTCAGTTTCTTAGTCTTGATAAATGTTAAAGTACTAGCTGCCTATAATCTTTTTCAAATGTCTACACTTTGCCAATGCTTTCATCATCAAAATTTGACAACCCTGTCGGAAAACTATGTAAATTGTTGTGTAAAGGAGAAAAATTAACCTCTGCTCAAATCATCTGAGCTGACACTTAGGATGAGCACAAGTCATGAAATATTCAGATCACCAGCAGAAGGAAAGAACAAGGACTGCAGGTCTACCTCTTATGGGCCTGTCACCCCAAGGACCACTAAGAGATGGGATATCTTCATTTGTCCCTTATTATCTATAGATTCCCTTAGGACCTATGGTTGTAAACAAATATTTCCATGAGACAGTTTTAATAACATTGGCAGGTATTTGTCTCAAAACCCTGACTTTCTTTGAAAAGCATTTCAGTTAAAACTACTTTTCTTAAATGGTACTGTTGCTGCTGCTGCTAAGTCGCTTCAGTCGTGTCCAACTCTGTGCGACCCCATAGACTGCAGCCCATCAGGCTCCCCCGTCCCTGGGATTCTCCAGGCAAGAACACTGGAATAGGTTGCCATTTCTTTCTCTAATGTGTGAAAGTGAAAAGTGAAAGTGAAGTCTTTCAGTTGTGTCCAACTCGTAGCGACCCCATGGACTGCAGCCCACCAGGCTACTCTGTCCATGGGATTTTCTAGGCAGGAGTACTGGAGTGGGGTGCCATTGGTACAGATGAACCTATTTGCAGAGCAAGAATAGAGGTGCAGACATAGAGAATGGACTCATGGACACAGTGGGGGACTGAGAGGGAGGATTATTGAGAAACTAACATTAACATATATATGCTACCATATGTAAATAGTTAGCTAGTGGGAAGCTGCTGTATCACTCAGAGAGCTCATCTCGGTGCTCTGCGATGAACCAAATGGGTGGAATTGGGGACCAGGAAGGGAGTCTCAAGGAGGGGATAAATGTATACATATGGCAGATTCATGACATTGAGCAGCACAAACTAACACAACATTGTTGAACAATTAAATTCCAATAAACACATTAAAAGACCTACTTTTCTTAAAATGAAAATAGAGATATATGGCTATGTTGCTTTTCATTTAATTTATAATCCATGCTATTTTGTTTAAAACGTGTATTACAGGAGTTATTAGAACTGCCTTACATAATATGGACAGAGAAGCCAGAGAACATTACTCAGTGGTCATTCAAGCCAAAGACATGGCTGGGCAAGTTGGAGGGCTTTCAGGATCCACCACAGTCAACATCACCCTGACAGATGTCAATGACAACCCCCCAAGGTTTCCTCAGAGTAAGTACATGTTTCTTTTGATCTGCACTTATCACTCTTCATTTATGTAAAACAAACTGAAATACAGCTAAGCCTTGAACAATATGAACTTGAGATGCAAGAGTCCACTTATTCATTTTTCTCAGTAGTAAGTTCTACAGGACTACATGACCAGATCAGTGGTTGGGTACATCTGCAGATACTGAGGAACCTGGCTACAGAGGGATGACTATAAGTTATATGTATGGACAATGTAGAGGTTGAATGCTCCTAACTCCCACATTGCTCAAGGGTCAACTGTACTTGGACATATAATGATATGTGACTATTCTCTTAAATGGAAAGATTGTGTTTGTACAGTATTCCTTTTATATACAAGACTAAAGAAATCACTCCATCTGTTGTCTCCTGAACTTGGTAGATAGGTGTCACTGTGTTAAAGATATCCATTTCAATTGACATCACAGTAAAATACTAAAAATGAGATAGTGGTACTAAGAAATGATACTTTGTATTTGCTGAAGTATTTATGTATTACTAAGGAATTCCTGGAGGTATTCAGAATAAATGTTTTGATATGGACATTCTACTCTTGCAAAGCTATTGAATATGTACTCTTTGTGGGATGAATTTCTTTTTTAATTCTTCATATTAGGAATCAATGTTCTTCACATACACACAGAAGCACACCATCCAATGGCAAGGTATAGCAAATATAATAAACTGCAGTCTCAGAGTAGAATATGAACCTTGTGAGTGGAGGATTCATCAGGGGATTCAAGGAGAGAGTATCAGTTCTGTGAGTTCAGAATGAAATACTGTTTATGACACCTTCAGAAAGGGAAGGGAACAAATTTGAGTATTTCTAATGTGGCAGAAGCTGTGGGTAGCATTTTATAGGATAACCATTAATTATCTTAAAAATCCTGAGGGGAGCTGTCCTTCTTAAACATGATGTTTAAAAAGTGTAAAAGACAGAGTGAAGTAAGTCAGAAAGAGAAAATTATTAGTGCAAATGTATGGAATCTGAAAAAATAGTACAGATTAACCTATCTGCAAAACAGAAATAGAGACCCAGATGTAGAGAACAAACATATGGACATGAAAGGGAAAAGAGGGGGCAGGTGAGTTGGGAGATTGGGATTGACATATATACACTATTGATGCTGTGTATAAAATAGATATCTGATGAGAACCTACTGTATAGCACGAGGAACTCTACTCAATGCTTTGTGGTGACCTAAATAGAAAAGAAATATAGAAAAGAGGGATATAAGTATGTGTATGGATGATTCACTTTACTGTAAAGCAGAAAATAGCATAATATTTTAAAGCAACTCTACTCCAATATTTTTTTTAAAAGACCTGCTAGGTTCATCTTTGAAAAAACAACTTAGCAAATATCATCAAAAAGTTACAGAGAAGTTGCTGCAGCTGTGATTTTTAGAAAAATTTTCAGAGGCATATTTGAAATAAAAACAAGTAATGGGCAATTTTGATGGTTATTGGTAAATAATGATGAATTTTAAGGACATCAGAAATTTCAGAGGTAAAATATTTTGTCTGTTTGTGTTTATAATCCAAGGAATACAATTCAACTTCAATAAATCTGGGGTGGGGAAGAAAATAAACTCTGCAACAAAGTAGACAATGTGACAAGTCAACAACTGATCTCCACAAGTCAGTGTGAAAGGCTTACCCAGCCCTATCTCTCAGTATTGCTCTCAGTACACAATGGAATAATGCCTGTTCCGAAAACACAGCTAGAGTTTGCACATCTGTAAATCAGTCTAGAATTTTTCACTCACATTGCTTTGTTTGTGATAGTCACTCAGTTGTGTCTGACTCTTTGTGACCCCATGAACTGTAGCCCTCCTGGCTCCTCTGTCCATGGAATTCTCCAGGCAAGAATACTTGGTTGGGTTGTCATTCACTTCTCCAGGGGATCTTCCCAAACCTGAGATCAAACCTGGGTCTCCTGTATTGAAGGCAGATACTTTACCATCTGAGCCACCAGGACTACCACATTCCTTTGTTTAAAAGCCCTCTTAAAAGTTTCTCTGAACTCCACCACAGAATTAGCAGACAGTTAATTAACCCTTGGTTTCTGTAACATGGCACTTTCCCATGTGCTTTTCTTCTATATTTATCTCCGTAGGTGCATATCTCCCCTACATTGTGAGTCCCTCTAAGGAAGAATGATGCTTGATTTGTCTTTATATCATTAAGTGTTTAGATTGGTGCCTAGCCCTGGTTAAATGGCTATGAAATGAACGAATAAATGAGTTGAATTTAAATACTCTGTCAAACTACTATTGTTAAAAGACCATGGATAAAGACATGCAAGTTGAATTCATGATTAGGCAGAGCTCCGTTAAAATATCAATTCTAAGGACAAGATTATGTGACTTGGTTCTTTCAAGTGGCTTTTGCTCTATGAAGAAAACATCTTTGAAAGAAAATTATAAGTCATAGATAAGTCCATATTATTAAACTATGAAGTATAATTAAATTCCAAGTCATTTTACAAAATTGCAGTGTATCTTTGTACTCATTTAATCCCTTATTGCACACAAGATGTATATACACATATTTCATTATGAGACAAGTGTAATCAGATGGTGACTGCAGCCGTGAAATTAAAAGATGCTTGCTCCTTGAAAGAAAAGCTATGATAAGCTTAGACAGCATATTAAAAAGCAGAGATGTCACTTTACTAACAAAAGTCCATATTGTCAAAGGTATGGTTTTCCAGTAGTCATGTATGGATGTGAAAGTGGGACTATAAAGAAGCCTGAGTGCTGAAGAATTGATGCCTTTGAACTGTGGTGCTGGAGAAGACTCTTGAGAGTCCCTTGGATGGCAAGGAGCTCAAACAGGTCAATCTTAAAGGAAATTAACCTTGAATATTCATCATAAAGACTAAGGCTGAAGATCCAAAATTTTGGCCAATTTTCTGTAAAGAGCCAACTCATTGGAAAAGACCTTGATGCTGGGAAAGATTGAAGGCCAGAGGAGAAGGATGAGGATGAGATTGTTGGATTGCATCATCAATTCAATGGACATGAGTTGATCAGACTCTGGGGGATAGTGAAGGACAGGGGAGCCTGGTATGCTGCAGTCAACAGGGTGGCAAAATGTTGGGCTAAACAACAACAAAACCCTTTTATAGAAGAAGGAGTTCGTTGGTTGATTTAGTCACTAAGTCATGTCCAACTCTTTTGCGACCCCATGGATAGTAGCCTGCCTCCTTCCTCTGCCCATGGGATTTCCCAATCAAAAATACTGGAGTGGGTTTCATATCCTTCGCCAGAGGATCTTCCTGATCCAGGGATCGAACTTGCATCTCCCAGGTCTCCTGCACTGCAAGCAGAATCTTTACTACTGAGCCACCAGAGACTAAAGTTCAAAAAAATTTTTTTATAAAGAGGTAATGAGTGATAGTGCTGAATTAAGCTGAATATAAACTTTGTTATAATTACAACACCAACCTCATTTTCAACCTATGTTATTTAAGTAGATTCTACCAACAGTATTTTTAAGATGTATATGAATATTATAACCCTTATTATAATAGAGTGAAAAATTTATGCGTGGGGCTCAATAAACTGATTCTAACCTGACAAGTCCATTAAAACTGATTTTAGAAATCACCAGAAAATCAGAAAATGGTGATGAATAAAGAAAAATGTATCCCTAACTTTATTCTGATTTATGATTGTTGCTGAAGCATCAGTTCATAGTGAAACAATTGTTTAACTTGACAAAGAATAAATGAATACTCTTTGAGTGAACTCATTACATTAATCACTAATGGGATCTACATACCTTTAGTCTCCTCAGAATGACTGACAACTGTCAATCCTGCCACATGGTGATATGCTCTTAGTGTTTTGAAACAGAGACAGTACACACCCAGAACTTCACACTCTGATTTGTTTAAAAGATATTTTATTTTGCACCCATACTGCTCTAAACACGTTGCTGCTCTCAGAATTATTTGGTGTCACCACAAAAAGAGTAGCTTACAGTATTCTTTAATTTTCCCAAAAGCATTATAACTCATCAAATGAAAACAAAAATGACAAACTATATATTGGGAAACTTTGCAAGTTGCTTGAAGAAACAAAAAGTGATACGTATTATGAAGACTTGCATACATAAAGCACCACAAAATGCACAAATCTACACACAGTTCAAATCCTATAAAGATCTTATCCAGTCATTAAATAGACCCAGAAATCTGATTGTTTCTCTTAAGATGTTCTTGTTTGTTTGTTTTACATTTCTTCTGACATTTTTTTTTTTTCCTCTTCAGCTGTGAAATCAATGTTACAGCAAGACTGTGATTGACTCTAGTGTAAATATCTGGCACACATTTTTAACATTGCATTTTTCTTTCTTCTATTAATTTACCATGGCCTCAATTTCTTACCTCTTATATCTCAATTTAAAGCTACCACTGGATCTTTTCTAAATTAGAGTATAATCACTTTACAGTGTTCTGTTGGCTTCTGCTGTGCCCACCCATTTGAGACTCCCTGCCATGCCCCACCCTGTCCCACCTCATTAGGATATCACAGAGCACTGAGCCGACCAACCTGTGCTATACATCAGGTTCCCCCTATTTATTTTACATGTGGTATTGTATATATGTCAATCCTACTCTCCCAATTCACCCCCCATCCCATGTCCATATGTCCGATCTCTACATCTGCTTCTCTATTCCTGCCCTGCAAATAGGTTCATGTGTACCATTTTTCTAGATTCCACATGTGTGTGTTAATATGTTTGTTTTTCTTTTTCTGGCTTACTTCACTCTGTATGACAGACTCGAGGTCTCTCTACTTTATCTTAATTTAAGCTGCATAGGTTTTAGTAAGCATTTGAGAGTTACAGAGGGAACTAGACTAATAATTTGCTTTACAAAGACTCTGCTCTAGGGAGATACAAACTCAGTGGCCTGGAATACAAGACAAACAAAAGTCCAGGTGAAATCAGGCTGCCTGTGAGTGTCAGGG